CAGCATGATGACAGCACATAATATTAGACTAGATCTTCTTCAAGACACTAGTGTTCAGCTTAAAGTGACATGTAAAGGCTTCACTAGGGTAATTAGGGTAAAGTTAGGGTAATTAGGCAAGTCATTGTATAACAGTGGTTTGTTCTGGAGACAATCCAACACTAATATTGCTGAAGAGGTGAATAATATTGACCTTAAAACAATTAATAACTGCTTTTATTCTAGCCCAAATAAAACAAATCAGACTTTCTCCAGAAGAACAAACATTATCAGACACACTGTGAACATTTCCTCAATCTGTAATAAATACAGCACATGAGTGTGAATAACACTGACTTTAACTGTATATGAGTATTAAGTATATGTAAATATGAGTCAAATTGTCAGTTCAGTTGGTATCAAGCCTGAAACTTTTGACAACACTAGTTTAAATAGTGCCAGGGTCATTTTTGACCCCAAAGTCAACATTAATCATCTCCCCATGCACAGAAAATAACCCTAACACACGTCCCCATGATATGAATACTGCATTTATACTATTATCTCAATTTAGCACATACAGCACACGCAGAGTGTATTCAGAGATCTCCACCAGACCAGCAGAGGCAGAATCTGCTTCAGTTTCTGTCAACAAACGTCAGCGGTTTGACGGAGGCTCAGATATCTGCAATACACACTTATCTGACAGAGAACTGCTGAGACAAACGCTGACACACACGAAACACACACTCCGGCTTCAGCACAGCACTGACCGGCAAGTTTGAAGAGCCACGTGCTGTAAACGCATTGACTCTGTTCACTGATATTAATGTGTGGGAATATGTCATGAGGGTGTGTTGTGTTGCACGGAGAGATCTTGGAAATAGCCCAGAATACACTGAACAGGGTGAAATTATGGATTTTCCTTTGTCGAATAGTGTTTGAATTTTAAGTAAAGATCGCGTTCAATGAAGATGTTGTGTGCATTTCAGCTCTTTTAGTTTAGATTAAAATCTGCGTAAATACGGAGAAAATTCCATATAAAGTTGAGCAAATTAATATCTGTGCCATGTTAATTACCAACCAAAAATTGAGCTTTGATATATATATTACACATTTCTCACTGTAAATATGTCAAATTCAACATTAAGATTTTAATTAGCACAACTCTACAGGTGATTTCCTCCATATTTAGATTTTTCTGAACCCGCAGATTTGAAGATTTTCTAGGAGTTGCATCACTGCCAAATACTGCCCTAATAAAAGTTGCATGTATGTATTTATAACTTGTCCAGAAGAGGGCATCATGGGGGGTTAGCACAATTACCTCACAGCTAGAAGGTCACTGGTTCAAGTCCCGGCTGGGTCAGTGTGTGTTTCTGTGTGGAGTTTGCATGTTCTCCTTGTGTTGGCGTGGGTTTCCTCCACAGTCCAAACACATGCGCTATAGGGGAACTGATCAACTACACTGGCCGTAGTGTGTACGGGTGTTTCCCACTACTAGGTTGCAGTTAGAAGGGCATTCGCTACATAAAACACATGCTGGAATAGTTGTTGGTTCATTCCACTGTGGCGACCCCTGATAAATAAAGGGACTCAGCTGAAGGAGAATGAATGAATGAACTTGTGCATCTAATGACACTTATGACTGGTGTTGTGGTCTTGCAGCAGATATTAAGACTAATATTATTCAGTAATGCGCATATGCTGAGATGATGTGTGTTTAATATAGTTAGTAAAGTCAGATCTTGTGTGATCTTCTAGTGGTGCGTTATGTGAGAGATCTGCTACGGGGGTTTACACTGGAAAATGTGTTGCTGCCTTCAGTTTTTAAGTTGAATCAAGTCATTTTTAAAGGGGCAGTTCACCCACACATCTAACCTCTGTCCTCATTCACTCGTCTGTTCCAAACCTGGGTGAGTTTCTCTCTTCTGCTGAACACGCGCGAAGATATTCTGAAGAACGCTGGAGAGAAACTGAGTATTGCATGTTCCTGCCGCCTCCAGCATTCTCCAGAATATCTTCACGCGTGTTCAGCAGGATAAAAAAACTTATAAAGGGTTAAAAACACCAGAGTAAATGAGGAGGAAATTTTCATTTGATGGTGAATGGTGTCTTTAAATCATTTGTGTTCAACAGAAGAGAGAGACTCAGTTCAGGAACAGGTGGAGGACGAGTGAAGGATGATCATTTACAGTTCCCATGGATTAAAATAAAGTTTGTTTAGATGTTAGTATCAGTATTGTTTGTTTTTTGGGATATCTATAAGCTAATGTGCTCAAAACAGTCCTAAAATTCACATGTAGAAGATGTAACACTGAATGGACCAGCGGTTTCCTCACGTCTCCTCATACCTCAGTTCCTCATCACATCATGACCAATCAATGGCTCTCTAGTGTCTGACATGCCCCGCCCCCTTTAAGACGCTTCTCATTGGCTGTTCATTTGATGACCACTCTCACTGGTAGAGCTGTGATAAAACAAAATGCTATTGGCTGCTTTTTTAAAAAGGGGAGGGGCTTTGCTATGTCCCGCCCTCTCTTCATGTTTTGATTGAGATCAAGTCAAACATCGAGTAAAGATGCCCGTCAAAGCACTTGACTGGACCTTTAAGGCTGAACGGTGAGCTTTAAGAAGACTTTCACTGTGTTTAACTGTCCACTTCTACACTCCAAACGGTCCACATCAGCCGGCAGATTCAGTTTAGCAGAACTCTGTCTGTGTTGAGCTGCTGTGACTCAATCTGCACAGAGCAGCACTACAGCTGTAGAGATGAGCTCAACTCAGAGAAAGCACAACACTGCCATGCCCAGAACCATGTCTGATCATCAGTCCAGCCGCCGCTGCTGCTACTCTACATCCAGGTGTGTGTGTGTGTGTGTGTGTGTGTGTGTGTTTTAGGGCTGCATGATTTATGGTTTTGCATACGGCAATGTGTGTGTGTGCACAATAGTCAGATGCCAGGATCTGCAGTGTGGAGTCAGGATTAGAGTTGATCAGCAGAACAGATGAGCACATGAGCTTTGTGGAGTCAGAGCAGAGTATAAGCAGAGCTCCATCATCTGTGTGTGTTTCACAGGCATTCCAGGAGAGCGTAAAGCATTCACACACACACACACACACACACACACACACACACACACACACACACACACACACATCTGCAGGTTACTGGAGATTACTTTTACTGAATATTAAATCAAATGATGACTTCACAGAGCAGCGCAGAGGGAAGAACAATCGCCTCATAGCAAGAAGGTCACTGGTTCGAGTCTGGGCTGGGTCAGTTGGTGTTTCTGTGTGGAGTTTGCATGTTCTCCCCGTGTTGGTGTGGGTTTCCTCCGGGTGCTCCGGTTTCCCCCACAGTCCAAACACATGCGCTATAGGGGAACTGATCAACTACACTGGCCGTACTGTATGAGTGTGTGTGTGTGTGTGTGTGTTTGTGTGTGTGTGTGTTTTCCAGTGATGGAAGTGCATCCACTGTGTAAAACATATGCAAGATAAGTTGGCGGTTCATTCCACTGTGGCGACCCCTGATGAATAAAAAACTAAGCTAAAAAGAAAATGAATGAATGAATGAATGAATGAAGACTTTACAGTGTTATTTGACTTTTTCTTAGTCAGTCCCTGAAGACTGTTTGACTCTCCTGATGCCATAAAGCTCGTTTATTTCACTGTGTTGTGCTTTGCTCTGTTGTAATTCTGCCTGCTGTAATTTAGTTATTTATTTATTTATTTTATTATTATTTTTTTAAAGATTTATTTTTGGCCTTTTTTGCCTTTATTAGACAGGACAGTATTTAGACAGGAAGCGAAGTTGTAGAGAGAGAGAGAGGGGTTAGGGTAGGTAAATGTCCTCGAGCTGGGATTCGATCTCGGGACGCCTTGACACGCTCCTGCATCATATGTCGACACGCTAACCACTAGGCTATTGCGTCGACTTAGTTTTCATTTTTATGCATGATTTACACCCTTACAAAATCCCCACAATCAATCCAAATTCAAGACTTTTCCCCCAAATAGAGCTCTTCAGGCCATGTGGTGAACTGGGCATGGGATGATAACCGGGTATACTGCGGTTAGGAAAAGTCAAGGTTTTAAAAGCATCAACATTTTCTGCGATACCGTTCATAATGTATGTGTAGAATTTCTTATTTATGTTTTTAGGACAGCAGAAAACACATTCAAAGATGCCATTTTACATAAAGAAATCAGAGTTTTAGATTTAATGAAGACAGCAGAGGTCAATCATTCATTTGAGTTATTTAGCCTGACGTGTTCACTGCTCCAAAATATTAGAAATGTTTCTCAAAATAAAATATGCTGTGTTCAGAAGAGTAAAAAGTTTGTGTTTTTATGCAGACACTTAAAAAGAAAATATCTGTACAGCGAAACCACGATAATTTTATCCTGGGTCATCAAACCGTCAGAATCTAACACCAGCCCATGCCAAGGTGAAACTGGAATATACATCACTGAAAAACAAAATATTGCAATGCCATGTCATGCAGCCCGGTCCAACCCAGTCCTGCAGAGTTTAGTTCCAACACACTCACCTGCAGCACCGCATCAGTGTGATCAGGTGTGTGATGGACCCTTTCCACATCAGTGTTCTGACACGTTCAACACTCATCAGCATCTTCAACTCTTGAAAGTGTTAGATATTCAGATTTTTAAATAAGCGTGTGCACATTGACATGCGTTTATGTGTGTGTTACATCATCAAACTCCCGTGTGTGAGGTGTGTGTGTGTGTGTGGGGGGGGCAGTAAACCTGCCGTTATTCTCTCCTCCGGCTGCCGTTATCAGTCTCACACTATTGTTCTCCTCCTCCTGACGGTCTGGATCACACTATCCTGGAGTGCTTCTGTCATTATGTCAGCTAACAGTATTGTATTAATGATGTGCTGTACTCTCCTGTTTGATGTGTACTTGATGAGCAAAGGGTCCATTGGGGCCGGAACTAAAGTGTGCAGATGTGAGTGTGAGCCGTGTGCTGTAGTGTGTGTTTAGTGTTACCTGCGTAGAAGCGCAGCAGTGAGCCCAGCTCGGTGTTCATGCCCTCCTCCTGCACGCGCCACGGGTCCTTAAAGCCCAGCTTACAGAGGAAGTCATTCTGGATCTGCAGGGGCCGCTCCTCGGGGCCCAGGCGGCGTGCGGCCTCGCCGTGCAGCTGGACATACAGCGCCGGGCCCGACTCTGCATCCTCGGGAGCACTGGGGTCAGCGGGGCCCGAGTCTGCAGTGTGAGAAGCGCTGGGGGCCGCTGTGGGCCCCGGGTCCAGCTCCAGCTCATCAGAGGAGCTGCCGTACGGATCCAGGCCCTCCACAGGACTCAGCGCACACGCCTCCGTCCCCAGGATCATATCATCGCTCAGGGAGTCGCGGTGCTGGCCGAAGTGGGCCCCGGGCCCCAGATCCTCACACACACTGCTGCTGTCCACATCCGAGAAGCGCTTGGAGTCCTCGTCCTGCGGAGACGCCGAGTGTGTGAAGAGCTCAAACTCCGGCTGCGGGTACCGCGGGTCCCTCTCCAGCAGCAGCAGCCGGTCCTGCAGGCCCTCGGCCCCGTTGTGTGGCAGTCTGAGCGGGTCACAGGAGTCAGGGAGGTCGGCGCACGGCGGGCCCCGGAGCCGCAGGACAGAACCGCTGCTCTGCTGGAGCCGCTGGGCGATCTCCAGTGCGGTGCAGTCCACGGTGCACAGGACGGGCCGCGGTGGCGGCGGCGGAGCCCACACCTGCAGACGGGGGTGCACATGCACCGAGCCGCGCCGCAGGTCCACACGCACCCACTGACGGTCACTCGGCTGCAGCAGGGGCCCGGGGCGGGGACGGGGCCGCAGGGACAGGGGCCCGGACACCAGGCTGGACGGATGCCTCTTCACCCTCCTCTTCCTCAGGCTGGAGCAGGCTCTCAGGGGCTCTGCGGAGATCGGGCTGCTCGACGCGCTCTGCTCTTCATCCTCCTCCTCATCCTCGGCTCGCACGCACACGCTCTTCTTCGCTTTCGCGCTCTCCATCCTCGCCGTTAGTCCATGCGCGCGGGGAGGATCGCGCCGTGCCGCGCCGCTCGACAGCAGATCATGGAGTCTGAGAGAGAACGGCGTAAATCTCGCGAGAGAGAAAGGCGCGAGAGTTCGGTCACGGCGCACTGAAACGACACACAAACATGGGTTTTCGAGTTAATTGAGATTCTGTGCTGCACATCTGCGCTGTTCTGCGGGTAATCCACACACGAATGTCAGAAAACAAAACAAGAGGCGTCCACTTACAGGAAGAGGGAAGATCATCGCGAGACTTGAGGACGAAGCTGCTCCAGAAAGGATGATGACGATGATGTTGAATATCCCGTGTGGAACTCGGCGATCATTCGGTGACGGTGATATATCGAGTATATTAGTGTTAAACGGATGTTTCCGACTAAAGGCAGTCGTTCCTGAAGCGCTGCTGCGTTCTGTGTGTTGATGAGTGAAATACAGCAAGGAAGCGCGGCGCTTCACGCAAGTCTCGCGAGACGAGAACCAGTCAACGCCCCCGACGCAGGAGCATTCGGAGACTAATCGCATCGCGTGTGTATTTTATTATGATTTACCTTCACGTTTTTGTTCTCAAATCAAATCCATTATTGTCCATTCTAGATTTTGTGTCCACAAACCGAAACGAATCGAATGTACGTCGCTGTGGTGTAGAACTGCATTTCCCGTGATGCCCCGCGCGTTTGTTTTTGTTGGTGCGTCACTCTCTTCTTCACCGTGTGTGTGTGTGTGTGTGTGTGTGTGTGTGTGTGTGTGACGGTACTAAATCAGCAGCAGTCAGCGGTAAACACACTCGGAAAGCTGAGCTCCTCACTGCGCTTATCACATCTCAAATAAATGTCCGCCAACTCGTGCGCTTCTCCCTCAGCGTTTGTCCCTCAGTGACCGCGAGCGCGGGTTATGAGCAGGGAATCAGTCTCGCGGATGATTTCGCTCATTGGAAGTCATTTAAATGAATATAGATGTCAAGTTAAATGTTGAGGGAGTTCATGTCGGCGGGCTGACGCAGATGAGTTGGAGATCTGAAGAGTGTTACTGCCATCTGTCGCTCACACAGAGAAACACACACACACACACACACACACACACACACACAGTTGGAGAAGAGGGTAGACAGCGCTGGGTGACGCACAACTCTTCTAGACTTTTACCAGAGTATTCTGTCGCCCTCAACAAGCTCTTAAAGCATGGAAGTTGTGTTATGTGCACAATTTCTCGTTCCATAAAGCAATTTTGTGGAATAATTCTTATATAACTGTTAATCGCAAATCTCTCTACCTGCAAAATTGGACAGATAAAGGTATTTTTTTCTTGTCTGATATTTTGGACCAATCAGCTAATTTATTTTCTTACAAAAATTGTATGGAAAGATGGTCATTCCCTATTACATTTAAAGAATATAACTATGTAACAAAAGCCATCGGTTTACTAATGCTAATGAGAAGTCACATGTCTTCATATAGGCTAGTATCAATATTTATAGAAATATCCTCCGCTTTACTTACATGGGGTACACTTTTGTAGTTAAAAATGTACAAACAAAGTTATTAGATTAATATTTTTCAAAAATAGAGCCTTAAAACCTAGAGGAAAATGTTTTTGGAATGTATATTTCGATGATATTGTGTGGAAAAAAGCTTGGTTGCTTCCTTTTCGTTTTTGCGTAGGTAACAAATACAGAGAACATTTAAAAATTTTACATAACATTTATATTAGTAATCAAACATTAACTAAATTTACTCAGACGGATGGAAACTGTTCATTCTCTTTACATCACTCAGACACGGTGATTCATCTTTTTTATGATTGTGAATATTTAAAAAAATTTGGGAAGATCTATCATTGTATGCCAAAAACAAAAAAATCAGGTTTTAGTTGCAATTTGACCCCCAAAGACGTTATATTTTTAATTTGTTTCAAAGAATTTATCTGGAATTTTTATTGAATTTTTTAATTTTGTTCGGTAAATTTCATGTTCATAAATGCAGGTTAAATAACACTAAACCTTGTTTAAAGGTTGCTATTGCAGATTTTCATTTGTATATAGAATCGCTCCAATATTTTAAGAGCTAAAAATGTATAAATACAATTATTGCGGCAAAGGAGCTGAAGTTATTTGATTAGTATTCTTGCTGTCAATTGGATGAGTATTATCATTGTAAAGATCTCTATGCTGAATTGTCTTTTTATTTGTTTAATTTATTTTTTAATTTATGTTATTAGCTACTTTTGTATTTTTTGGATGTCATGTTTAAATTGTATATTTGTTGTTCAATAAAAAAATAAAATAAATCAATAAGTATTCTGTCGCCCTCAGCTGATTGAGGACATCTGTAACCCGCGTCAATGGTTCAGGAGGTTCAGGTTTAACGTCCTTTCGTTATGTTCGGGTTTAAAACACCCTCTGAATTAAAGTGCTGTGAATGTGTCTGATGATAAACATTGTTCTGCACACATCTGTTAATCAACCTCAGTCATGATCAAAACTAATAAATGTTTTTAAATAAATCCATGGCCAAGCTCATGAGATCCCGGATTTGGGGACTGAATAGATGAAGAGTTTAGATGCAAAAACCTCTGAAGTTCTCTTCTGAAGTCAGCACTGTTCTCAGCCTCCAATATATTTATGTGCAGCTATTTCTCTTTAAGGCAATGCAAGGAACCTATTTTTAATGCAATGATTTACTGAACACACAGGATTTTGCCAAAATACCCCAACATTTCAGATGGCATTTAGAGGTTTATGCATCTAAACTCTTCATATGTTTATGGTTTATTAGTCTTGGACCACACTGGCCTTGATGCATTCTCAGTTTGTGTGCAATGCAGATTGACTTCCATTATAATCACATTTTCTGATTAAAGCTGACAGCAGACAATCATCCAAACTGACAAAGTGCAGAATATGAGCCCTGTATGAGCTCACTTATTCCATTTGACTGATATGCCGTCATACATTGTGAAAATTATCTATAGAAGAAGTCTTTAAGATTCATTACATTTTTAATTATTCAAGTCGCAAAATTCTGACTGAGGAAAGTTGAATGAGCTGACCAATTTGTTATTTGCCTTCAGATTTATTTTAAAGCAAGATGTATAATAAAAAAAAAATGTATTTAAAAATAAGTATTTTTCCATATTTATTAATTTTTTAATAATGCTAATCTCATATTGTTTATAAAACAGCATTAACTTACAATTTAAATGCAATTTTTTTATAAATCCTTTGTAGTAAAATAGCATGCTGAGTACTTTGACGAAATTGTAGGAAATATTTTTGGTGCATCAGAAAAGTGTGGTAATGATCAAAAATGGCAAAGATTAGTTCTTAAAATGTCACTAAAATGCATAAATAAATAGAAATAAATAATATTGAACAACTGCAAAAATGTCCACTTTTTCAGTAGTCTGGCTATGAGCCTGTATAGTCGTCATGTTTTATTTCTGATCATCATTACTGATGAACTTTGACATTTTAATCTCATCTGTGGTCAATATCTGCTCATACAGCAGTAATGAAGCATTTAGAGCGGTTTAATTGCAGATCGTCCACTGTGTGGCGCTGTTTGCACATAATAAATGTACTTGCAGGTTTCCAAATATGATGAAGGATCCAAGAAATGCTCTAAAAGCTCGAGTAACCCTCAGATCCTCCACCACCCATCCTGCTCAGAGCTGGGACTGACCCGGCGACTCTCTGCATGTGAGTCCAGTGCTCTAACAAGGAGGATAAAGACCATGACTACTGCTGTCTTACTGAGGTCAGAGCAGTGAGGTTTACCTGGCCTCTGCTACACTCACCCTCATACGGGTCACGGCACCAACGTGACCCTGCCGGTCCTAATGCACCCAGCCTGCTCCGAGCTGGGTCTGGACATGCTTCTGGATTTAGGACATTTGGACTAGAGACTGAGAGCAGCAGATGTGTCAGTGTGTGCTCATCATCGGCATCATCGTGTACTTATGAAGACAACACACACACACACTCAGTCGGTGTTGGTAAAGAAGGTCAGGGTTTATTGCTGGAATCGTGACGCGCGCGCTCACACACACCCTCATATAAAGTCATGCAGTTTCTACAAAGTCTTCAAAAACACACACCTCTGTTACAAAGATGATTGGGTTCCTGCTGGAGCTCCGGCTCTCCTCGTCATGTTCAGCCAGAGTGTGTGTGTGTGTGTGTGTGTGTGTGTGTGTGTGTGTGTGTGTGTGTGTGCGTCGACACTCAATCCAGATCAGATCAAACCTACACCTGCATCAGCCCACAAGCAGTCCTGATGCGTGTGTGTGTGTGTGTGTGAGATGGTCAATATGTATATGTGACAGTCAGTGTGTGTGTGTGACAGTGAGTGTGTATATGATGTTCTGTGTGTGTGTGTGTGTGACGCTCTGAGTGTGTGATTGACAGTGTGTGTGCATGTGTGTGACTGATTGTCGGTGTCTGTGTAATAGTGTGTGTGATTGTCAGTGTGTGTGTGTGTGTGTGCCCGTGCAAGAGCTGCTGTGTGTGTGTGTTGCAGACTCTCAGGACTGATCAACTGTACAGCAGGTAAATAGAGCATGAACACGTCATCGTTTTCCCAGAAACACACACACACACACACACACACACACCTCTGGAGCTGCCGCTGAGGCCAGTAATACACACTAAACTGACCCCACACACTGATCAGAGGTCAGGCAGGAGCTGAGCGAGTGTGACGCAGCAGTCCGCTTCCCGAGCAGCACAGCACCGTGTTGTCTAACAGAGTTCAGGAGGTCAACACGTCTACACTCACCACACACAGCCCGTCTCCTGAGTGTGTGTGTGTGTGTGTGTGTGTTTGCAGCAGCTCCTCCAGAAATGTGTCCACCTGTGAAAACCCTGACGTGTTCAACACCTGCAGAGCAGACATCCAGCTGAACAACACACACACCTCACAACACATCACATCACATCAGCAGCGGAGCGGTCCCAATCAACATCAGTGTGTGCGCATATCCTAAAGTGCATGCAGAGTATGATCACAGCTTCATCATCTGGACGTCTGAGGATCAACAACCATCAGTCTGCATGTGTGTGTGTGTGTGTGTGTGATTAATTCAGTGTGATTAATTCAGAATTCATCCAAGTGGCCCAGATCAGCTACAGAGAAGACAGCACACACACACATGCACACACACACACCGACTCCAGACAACACATCAGCTGTGTTTGCAGATCAAGGGTCAGTTCACACACAGCTACAGCTCTGTTATTCTCCATTCCAAACCAGCTGAGCTACTCTGAGTCAGATGCTGCTTCATTCATGAAAGAATCATTTGAGTTGATTCAGTGCTGACAGATGCTCATATGTCATTTCTAAAAGAGTCATCCGTTTTGAATGAATCATTTGAATGACTCATTATGACAGTGAATCATTGACTCACTGATTCATTCTGAAAGTCAGATGTTGCTTCATTTCTTAAGGAATCATTTGAGTTGATGATTCAGTGTTGACAGACACTGCTTTAGTCTAAAAGAATCATCCGTTTTGAATGAATCGTTTGAATGACTCATTATAACAGTGAATCGATGACTCCATCCATTCATAAAGTCAGATGTTGCTTCATTTATGAAGGAATCATTTGAGTGGATGATTCAATGATCCATTCTGAAAGTCAGATGTAGCTTTATTCATGAATCATTTGAGTTGATTCAGTGTTGACAGATACTGCTTAATTTCTATAAAAATCATCATTTTTGAATTAATTCAATGACTCATTATGACAGTGAATCAATGACTCAATGATCCATTCAAGAAAACAAGCACTGCTTCTTTTCTAAAACAATCATTTGAGTCAATGATTCATTCTGAAAGTCAGGGGTTGCTTCCCAGAATCATTTGAGTTGATGATTCAATGTTGACAGATACTGATTCATTCAAAAAGAATCATCAGTTTTGAATGACTCATTATGACAGTGAATAAATGGCTCAATGATCTATTCATAGTCACACGTAACTTTATTTATGAATGAATCATCTGAGTTAATGATTCGATGACAGATACTGCTTAATTTCTATAGGAATCATCAGTTTTGAATGAATCGTTTGAATGACTCAATGATCCATTCTGAAAGTCATCCTCATTTCTAAAAGAATCATTTGAGTTGATTCAGTGTCGACAGATACTTCATCATTAAAAAAAGAATCATCAGTTTTGAGTAAATTGATTGAATGACTCATTATGACAGCAAATCAATGACTCAATGATCCATTCTTAGTCAGACGTTGCTTCATTTCTAAAAGAATCGTCTGAGGTGATGATTCAGTGTTGTCCGATACTGCTTCATTATTTAAGGAATCATCAGTTTTGAAGGAGTATGAATCATTATGACAGTGAATCAATGATTCAATGATCCATTCTGCGAGTCAGATGTTGCTTCAAAGAATCATTTGAAGATCTGTCGAAGATGCTTTGAAGAATGCTGAAAACCTGTAACCATTGACTCACTGTTTGTTTTTCCAACAATGGAAGTCAATGGTTACAGGTTTTCAGCATTCTTCAAAGCATCTTCTTTTGTGTTTAATGGAATATGTTTAGGTTTAAAACCACTGGAGTGAGTGTGAATGGTGAGGAAATGTTCAGTTTTGGGTGAACTGACCCTTTAATGTAACGCACAAAATCAGAATATTGCAATTCCTGCCATTTCCATTAAACAATTATATGCAAAATTCCAAAACTAGCATTAAAATATGTGGATGGAAACACAGCTAACACACACACACACACACACACACACACACACACACACACACACACACACACACACACACACACACTGATGTCTGATTTGTAGCGTGTGAATGACTGATAAACAACACAAACAGACAAAACTCAAAAATAAATGTAATTTAAGTTGAAATAAATGATGAACGGTGGACAAAATAAATACAGACACACGATAGAAATTAAAACATGTATAAAAACACTGCACCATTAAAACATGAGCACGGTCTGCATAACTGCACGTGACGTTACACACTATAATCATATTAAAAACCATCATGATCTGACGGCGAGCTTCAACACACGATGGACAGAAATAACAGTAAGAACTCACTCTCAGCAGCTTCAGATGAACACAAGAATCAACTCAATCAAACGACTCTTCATGAACACAAGAGATGTCTGAATCAAACGAATCAGAATCTTATGACTCTCGAGGAACAA